AAAAAAAAAAAAAAAGGTAAGTAATGTGACACAAAAAATCAACATTATTCAGAAGCAATTAAATTGAAACATCTACCTGTTAACAACACGAGCCTCAATTCCAGCATCCTCAAAGGCTTTCTTTACATTCTGCTCAAACTCTTTGTGAAGTTTGTGGTTTTTAATCAAAGAGTCATAATCTGCCCCTCTTTTGCGAAGAACAGATTCTAATTCAGACTCACTAAGGTCTACATGTCTGCAACGCTCGAAGTCATATCGGGAAAGCTTCGAGACGAGTAGCAATCTGTTTAATTTTATCGAAGAGGGAGGTTCAGAAGCCATAGTTGCCTGGGTTGAAAAGCATTCAGTCTTTCCTTGAAACATCAGGGCTGATTGTTTTGTCAGACTTAAAGATTCCCAACGGCAAAAAATCTTGCAATAAGCTGAAATGAACAAAAAGGAGCAGTGTCATTGATCAACCAGTATGCATGCTTATGATATACAGATCTACATGAGTATTCCAGTGAAACATTCAAAGTGAAGATGCAATAGACCCATCTGTTAGAGAACAAGCTAGCTGAAAGTCAGCAAAGTCCTTTTACCAGCAACACAAGAGCATATTCCCAAACACAACACAAAAGTTCCCATTTGATAAATTAAAATGACACCTAAGAATTTTTATTCTAATGGTAATGCAAAAGCAAGGCAAGTAAAAGAAAATAAAATTATAGAAAATTATACTGGAGCAATCAGTTGGGAGGAAACACCATGGAAATCTAGGAGAACAACAGCAGCGTGAGTAATATACAAAAGAGAATCCAAAGCTGATCTGAATGTACAGAAATGAAAACAATAATGCCTCCTTCCAGTAGAACATGTGCAGGATGACACACAGACAATGAACAGAGAACAGATCACACACTTATGCAGCACTTTAAAAAGTTTCATTACAACTTTGTCAGTGTAAAAGTTGAAAGTGTGCCAAGATTTATCATCAATACAGTAATTAATATTTAGAATATCTCTTATTAATGTATTTGCAATGCAGCATTTCTGGGAATTATTACAACAGAATGAAAAATGAGCAAAAAAGTTATTAGGACCACGATTGATGTTTTCATAGTAGATACATGACAGCTTAATTGAATATGAGCAAATGCAAACAGCAGGTTTAATTTATCAAGTTTGTGATAGAAGAAAAATTAAAGAAGAAGCTAATCATCACACTTCTTCCCCTATCAGTGGTTTCCAGAAATAGATGAATAGAAAAAATAATTCATACTCCTTTCTAAAACAAAAAAATGTTTTGTTTAAAAGAAAGCCTGAATGTCAGTTTTATTCATTTTAAGAGTGGGGTGCAATAACAATGGGAACCTCTTGTTTGGTATGTGACATAAACTTTGCTTCTCACCACACACCTAAAGTTGATTAGCGGCTACCACGAATCAGTTGCGATGAAATCTGTTGGGCAATGACAAGTTATTAGCTTTAAGCCTTCAAAACGACAAGTATAACAAAACATTTTCTTGAGAAATTTTCATAGTACTTGGTACAAACTGTACAAGTCTAGCATTTTTCCAAGCAATATGGGGATAAATTGATAGCCTCCAATTCAAAACTTCCACAATAGATACTGGATAATTTCCTAAATCTCAAACAGCAAAAGCAAAGGTCAAGTAAGACATTTTGAAGTAATTGCAATACCCCAAGTGACAGAATTGACAGGTACACAATTTCTCCTCTCCAGTAATACTTTCTCTCCAAGTAGGCTGACATCCACATCATCAATGGAAAGCTGTCAATTTCAACTGTAGGTTGAAAGGAGGAGAAATAAGTTGCATCTCCATTCTACGTAGTGTGAGACATGAGCCAGTCACATACTCAAGATAAATGATTGCTTTGAAACAAGGTTAAGAACAGTAAGCTATGTAATGACACTGACCCAAGAGCAGAATGATGATAGCATGGCCCCTGCCCGGTGATACACGTATAAAATTCTTATACGAAATTTTAAAATTTCGACAGGTTTATGTTAAAACAGAACCCTTATACATAAAGCTTTCACTAACAACACACTTCGACGAGCGACACATAGACAACATGAGCACAATTAACGATACGAGCGTTAATAATGGATCTTTAAGAGTTTAAAAGGAGAAAAACAATGGTCTTGTAGGGTTGGGTGAAACAACATGCGACGTGGATGTCATCTACTTCAAGTCAATGCTTACCACGGCCCACGTTTTTCAATATCAGGTGCTTCGGAGACATTTCAGCGTCAAGCCAGGCTCAGTACAGATCACTTTTTTGCATGGACCATAGACCATAGTTGTTATCTAGATCTAACAGCTAACACGGTCTTCAATGTTTGTGATTTTTTTCAGTCCGCAGTTGTTTGCAGAGTCCTTTTCTGCTAGTGGGCAGAGAAGCGTTTCTGCAAATTTTTCATAACAAGACAAAATCGTAACAGCCCGCTGTTTTTGAATGGTTCATTGTTATGTTGAAGATTTGTGAACCACCATACGCTTCCTCTTTATGAAATTTCTCTGTCTTTTAAGAATTTATTCTAAAGCATTCTTCGAGATGAATGTAACACATACATTAACTACAAAATATTTTTATTTGTGTTGGTGGATTTGGAGCAGGCGCCCAAAATTTGCAGGTTTGCAACTCTTGCAGCGATAAAATACAAGCGCAGCAAGGTCATAAAATTAATCGCAGGGAATCAATTTCGGACAGTAAAAGAAGCTATGGAACAGATGAAAAATGTTCGATTTGGCACATTCCTATAAGCCCGTTTAGTCCGTTCGCCGTTGGACCATTTGGACGCTCCTTCCCTACCCACCCCCTCTTGCCTCCCTTCTCTCGCTTCTCTTCTTGTCCCCGCGCCCTCTCATCTTTCGTCCGGTTGATAACCTCTGAGTCGGCGGGGCCGTGAGCGGGGAGTTAGGAGGCGACACACAACAACACAACAACAATAAACACTTCGAGTCTAGATTGAATTTGCAATGTGATTTGTGTTGTGTTCTTGCGTGTGTTGGTTGTCTAAGGACCAGTGGCAGCTTTTGGCTGTGCTGTGAAAGTGTGTTTTTCACGTTAATGCCCAGTGTCTTCAGGACGTTCGCACATCAAAAAGGCTAAATGGATTTCCAAAATGGCAGCTGCACTCTTCTGCCCTCTTCCGAGGAAATTGAAAATATCGTGATATTTTTCTGAAGATGCTAAGGAGAGGTAAACATCAAGGTACGCCAATTTTTTGTGAGAATCCTTTTTCATGAACGTGAATACGCTTGTTTACAATATTAGCACATCACGCCAGTGTACATGTCCGCCTGTGTACGGACAGCGGCCGCAAGCCAACCTCTTCCAAGTGCATTTTTAGTCGTTACTTTCCGATGATTGTGCCATTTGTGTTTCGTGTGACCACTAAAGTAGTTGAAAACGGTTATGCATGTTCAGAACATGTCAGTCCAGTAAGCTGAAGCGCTCTTTGGATTGTTTAATCCGGCCCCTGAGGCTCGGTTCTTAGATGCCCTAACCTATACAACTACAGCAAGCCTATCATTCCAAGCATTGTTAGTAGTGTGAGTTTTAGATTCATGTCGTTTCCTTAGATTTTGATGTTGTTGCGTCTTTACATATGCTCCAAACCTAAAAATGCCTGACTGCTAGCAATGCCTGAATGTCAAAAGGGTTTAAAAGTAATTGGTAAAGACATTGTAAGTGTTCACCGAAGGGTACAAATTTGGGAAGAAAAGTATGCTTGTTTCTGTCATAATTTTCTCAGTTCTAAATTTTTATTTAACAATACAACTCCTTTGTAGGAGTCAGGCAATCTTTGATTATTATTCTGTTTTGTGTCTATTTTTGAAGTTGATTTTACATGTTTAGCTCAAAGCAATTTTTTATGTTGCAGCCAACTGTCCTTATGAGGGAATTCGAAGCTGCTTGTTGGCAGCTAGCAAGGCTCAATTTGCCTGTCTGTTTCAGTTCATTGTTTCTTGTGTCTCTTTTCAAGTAAGTATTGTATTCATCTCTTCAGGTTCAGCCCCTTTGAGTTTTTAATGCAAGTATTCCTTAATTTTATTTGGCATTTTTTTCAGGGTTTTGGGGAAACTTTCCTAACTAGTTCTGAATCAGTGCATTTAGCTAATACTTCCAATCAACTTTCTCAATTTCCTATTGGATTTTCGCAGCCAATGTAATTATTAATTTTAACCCTTGTTATCACTGAATAATTTGCACTACTGAGGTTGAACTTAATTTTCTTTGTTCAACAGGGTTAAAAGTTTTCTAAAACTGTATACTGCTGTCAAAGCAGCCATTATCAGTAAGGAAACAATTAAGCCATTTTCAAACCCTCTAATCTTTACAGCATCAGTTGCTGTGCATGAAATAATTGCATCAAAGTGGATCATCTAACATGCCTGTGAACAATAGAGCAAGGACACTTGCCAAAGGTAATTCTTGTTTTTACTCAGAGTTGAGGTTTTGACTTAATTAACTGTGTCTTAACTCTGAAATGTATCTGTTTTCTGTAGGGTCCTGTCTCCTTCTATCAGCATCTGTCTTCTTCTGTTAGCTACCCTCTTAGTTGTGAGCAAGAGGACGTAGACGCCATGAAGGATGCTGTAAAAGAAAAACAGCAGCGAGACAAAAAAGTCTCTGCCGCCAACAGTGGAAGCGCCTTAGGCTCTTCAGGATTAAATTCTAATAATACCTCCAATTCTGGCGGGAATTCAAGTAATTCGTCATCCAGTAATGGAGCAACAATCAAAATGGAACCATCTGATGGTCCAATGACTCCAAAAAAAGCAAAGAACTGAGGCCTAATGTTTTTTCTGTTTTATTACACCAGGAGGAAGGAGGTTTAAATGGTACTGAAGACATTAAACCTAACATTATTGGATCTACAAATAGTGGTACTGTCAACTCCTCATCCTGTGATCCCCCAGATTCATCCACAGATCTAGGTCTGGATTCATCAGATAGTATGTACTCTTTTTAAATGAAATTCTTGATGTCAAATTAAATATTCTGATAAGAGAAGAAAAATCCTTGTAAATCTTTGCATACTTATTCAAGTACTTTTTTCTCTTTCAGTTAAACCTGGTGACACAAGTTTACAGGATGGCTCTCCTTCCTGCAAAATCCCGAAGACTGAAGACCCTAGTAGTAGTCATGAATTTGGTTCAGGTGAGTTTTATGTACATTTCAGTAATCTTGTTGGAGATGGATTTTCTAAAATATGAAAATCTGAGAATAACATGGATATTTTCTTACAAATTAATAAGCATTTTTTCCTCTCCTTTTTCTGTAATCTAAATTTTTTAGATCTATGTGATAGTATGGGGCTGTCAGGAGACAGTGGTCCGCAGGGTCCCCCAGGCAGTACGGCAGGGGGTACCTGTTCCATGGGCGGACCGATGGGAGGCCCTGGGGGACCACCTGGCCCAACACCTCCCCTCCCTCCCACAAGTGGTCCCTCCATGGATGGTCCCACCATTCAACCTTTAGCTAGCAATGTAATGGGCAAGCAACAGCCCTCAAGTATGGAAGCACAGTACATGCAGCAACAAAGTCAAATCTTTGTGTTTTCAACAACTCTAGCCAATAAATCCGCAGAAGCTGTGCTGCAGGGTCTATACCCTTCCATCATTGCATATCACTGCTCACAGCCGGGCACTAAAAAATATCTAGAGGTATGTACTTTTTTCACTTTTTTCAATTGTTTATATGCTGTACTCAGTGCATCATTTCAGATTGTTATTTATAATCTTACAAATCATATTTTAGAAACATCCGTTAAGAATGAATCAGTTCAATCGCCAAAATCCCGCTCAATGGCTGAACAATCTGGCTCAGATGAAGCAAAAAGGTGGACCTGGTGGACCTGGGGGCCCTGGAGGTCCCATGGGTCCAAGTGGTCCAATGGGACCTGGAGGTTCAATGGGCCCTGGAGGGCCTGGAGGGCCGATGGGCCCAGGTGGTCCGATGGGACCCGGAGGCCCGATGGGACCCGGAGGCCCGATGGGACCCGGTGGTCCCATGGGACCTGGAGGTCCAATGGGGCCTGGGGGTCCAATGGGACCAGGCGGTCCAATGGGACCTGGAGGTCCGATGGGCTCTGGAGGGCCTGGAGGTCCGATGGGCCCTGGAGGGCCTGGTGGTCCCATGGGCCCTGGAGGGCCTGGAGGTATGGGCGGACCGAACAAATGTGGGATGATGGGAGGACCCGGCGGCCCTATGTCTGGTCCAGGAATGGGCCCTAATTGTGGGCCGATGGGGCCTGGAGGACCCATGGGAGGCGGGCCAATGGGTGGAGGTCCTATGGGTGGCTCATTCTCAGGCCCCGATAGCGGACCTATGGGACCTGGATGTGGACCTATGCCCATGTGGAATCAGGTAATTTTAATTTTCTTTTGCGAACTATTTTACCATTGAGATGTAACAATCATGCCATGAGGATATTTTTACTATTAAGAATGTGGTGGGCGTGCATTTGTGTGTTAGTTTTTTTGTTGCCCTCATGTAAGCTAACTACAGAACGAATGTTCTTAAAAACAATCTGCACTGTGATAACATTATGAAACGCTGTTTGTCTAAATTGTGTTTCCCTTTTTTTTGTTCTGTTTTTAAATAAAGGGTTCCTCTGGTGGACCCGGTGGACCTATGATGGGTCAAGGTCAAGGTATGAACGCTAACTGTGGACCGATGGGACCTGGCGGACCCATGTCGGGTCCTGGCCCGCGCCCTGCTGGGCCCACTGCTGGTCCAGGAGGACCACCCTCGGGCTCGGGAGGACCTAGTGGTCCTGGAAACGGGCCGAATGCACCTGGAGGTCCGGGTGGACCAGGCAGCCAGGGAGGCCCAGGAAATGGGCCAGGACCTGGTGGACCAAGTGCTGGAACGGGCCCACCGGTGTCTGGAGCGGGGCCGCCCACCCCGTCTGGGCTGAACGGTCCAACGGGAGATGAAGCCTCTTTACTAGCTGATCTGAACAATCCACTTGGACCTCACTCGTCTCTGCAAGGTAAGACTTTTTTTGATGCTGCAAGCTGTCTGTTTATAACTCTTGCGGGAGTTGAAGTAATCTAAGACTGCTGGTTGCTTTCGTCACCTTTTCTTTCACCATAACATTTGCTTTAGCCTGCTTGTCCTTGTGTCACTTATTTATGTCGTTAATACTCTATTTGTTAATTTGTTCTGTTTCCTCTTTTGTTAAGGTGTGAAAGTTCCTGATGAAAACCTAACACCTCAGCAGCGGCAACACCGCGAGGAACAGCTGGCGACTTTGAGAAAAATGCAGCAGATGCTTTTCCCCGAGAATCAGGGTGGCCCTGGTGGACCACCTGGCCCAATGGACTGGCAAAAAATGCAGCAAATGCAGCAGATGTTGGATCAAAAGAAGGGAGGCGGCAACATGGGGCCCAACATGATGGGTCCCAATGGACCTATGATGGGTCAAAATGGACCTGGCATGGGGCCCGGCGGCCCTGGAGGAATGGGCCCCAACGGATCAAACATGGGACCTGGAGGAGCTGCTATGGGTCCGGGCGGCATGGGGCCTGGAGGCAATTCTTTGGGTCCCGGAGGCATGGGTCCTAATGGCCCTGGTATGGGCCCTGGAGGCATGGGACCTAACGGCCCTGGTATGGGTCCTGGAGGCATGGGGCCCAACGGACCCGGAATGGGACCCAACGGGCCTGGGATGGGACCCAATGGGCCTGGAATGGGTCTGATGGGACCAGGCATGATGATGGGGCCCGGCATGATGGGCCCTGGGGGCCCGAGGCCCGGCGGCCCCAGAGCGCAGGGCCCGCCGCCCCCGTACCACCAGACCCCGCGCTCGGCGAGCGTGCCCATCGCAGCGCCTTCGCCCACACCCGGCTCCCCCAACAACCCCACTTCAAACCTCTCGCTGCCGTCGCCGAGAACTTCGTCGGGACTGAACTCTCCCGCCGAGCCCAACCGGTCCGGAGCGGGCGGCGCGGGTGCGACCGACTCGCCGAGTGCCTCGCGGGCGCACAACCCCAGCAACCCGGGCACGCCCGTGTCGTGCACGCCGACGCACATGTCGCCCCCCGCCAGCCGCAAGGAGGGCTCCCCCCACACGGGCAGTGGGGCGCCGCCGCCGCAGCAGAGTCCCGGTGAGCCCAACAGCTTGGCACTGGCATCATCTATCATTTGCGAAAATTTGTGATTGCCTTATGACTGACATTGGTGTTTCATTCTTTCAGATGGCATGTTCTGTCGAACGTTACAATCGTTAGCTCAGCAGCAACAGCAGCAGCAGCAGCAACAACAGCAACAACCTGGCAAAGAACCGAACTTAATGCCAGTACCATCACCTCAACAAATACAATATTTAAATGCTTTTGAAGGTCAGGAACTGACAATACAAAAGCAACCAAACACAAGTCTGAAGGAACCCAACATTTTATCACCCCCGTAAGCTTCTTCGTTCGTTCTCAAACTCTTTCAAATGAAAGTCCGCTGCTATGATACTCACTCTATCTTTTGTTTCAGGCTTGACGGTGGCCTCCCCGACCCCAGCGGCCTACGCGAGCCCGGCACCCCGCTGACGCCCTCGTTCCCCGCGACGCCGGGCGACAACAGCCGCTTCCCGCTACCGAGTCCTCACACTCCTGGGGGCGGCCCCGGTGGCGCTCCGGACAAGCAGCAAGGTCGTTTCCCCGGGTCAGGGTCCCGGACGCCCGTATCGTCGGCGGACACCCCCAGCAAGAGCGGCCCCTGCCCGAGCCCCAGCGTTGACGGCATGGGTCCGCCGAGGTTCATGGGCGGGCCGCAGGGCGGGCCGGCCTCGTCGCCCTCGCCCTTCTCGCAGCAGACGCCGCCCGGCAAGTCGTCTGGTGGCCTGATGGACGTGTCTTCTCCCGGCAAGGACGGGTCCCCCAACATGCCGCTTAACCCGAACAACAGCTCCGCGCCGACAGCCAACTCCAACTCGCAGAACTCCAAGGGCGGCATGTTCGACCCCATTTCCTCGCTAGCGCAGATGAGCCAGCAGCTCTCCAACAACGTGTCGGGCTCGCCTGGCCCGATGGGAGGCCCCGGCGGGCCGGGTGGCTCCATGCTGCCCTTCAACTCGCCCACCGGCCCCATGCACATGATGGGCATGAACGACTTGGGCATGCCGGACGGCGGCATGGGCGGCATGGGACCGATGGACATCCCCAACTCCTTCAGCCCCATGGGGCCCGGTCTGGGCCCAAACATGGGCAGCAACCCCGGATCACCCAAGCCCCGCGGCCCGTCTCCATTCCCCAACGTGCCAGGTGGCATGCCCGGGGGTATGCAGGGCGGCATGCCTGGAGGAATGCAGGGCGGCATGCCCGGAGGAATGCCGGGCGGTATGCCTGGCGGCATGCCTATGGGGCCGGGAGGCATGCCTCCGCGGATGATGGGCCGTCCAGGTGCACCCTCAGGACCAGGGGGTCCCAACCCTTTCAACGGCGCCAACGTGCAAGTGAAGGCCAGCGCCCCCAACACCATCCAGTACATGCCCGCCCGCCCGCAAAATGCGGGCAGCGCGGGGCCGCGCGGACCACCCAGCCTCGACTTCCTGCAGAGGTTCGCCAACCCCGGACAAGGACCCGGCCAAGGACCCGGCCAAGGACAAGGACCCTTCCCCAACAGTTCGAGTGCGCCCAGCACGCCCACGTCGTGCGGCCCTAGTGGGCCAGGCGGGCAGGGGAACATGGGCAACATGAACGGAGGGAGTCCCTGTGGTATGGGCATGGGTCACATGGGCATGTCCGGCAGTCCGGGCATGCAGGGTCCCAACACGCCTACCAGCGGGCCTGGAGGCCAAGGCCCTAACGGGCCAGGTGGCCCAGGCGGCCAGGGCCCCGGCACGCCCGTGTCACAAGGACCTAGCTCTGCGGGATCCGGAGGACCTATGTGTTCAACGGGACCTGGCTCAGGGCCCAACCCTATGATGGGGATGAACATGGGGGGGATGGGGATGGGCGGGATGGGGATGAGGCCTGGTGCGCCCATGATGGGCCCTGGGAATCCGGGCATGGGTCCTGGAAACTCTTCAATGGGTCTCGGGAACCCCGGAATGGGGCCTGGAAATCCAGGAATGGGTCCTGGCAATCTTGGCATGGGGCCAGGTAACCAGGGTATGGGGATGGGAGGTCCTAACATGATGTCTGGTGGTCCTGGAATGATGCCTGGTGGTCCAGGACAAATGGGCGGTCGTGGTGGTCCTGGGATGGGTCCTGGTGGTCCGGGTATGGGTCCTGGGGGCCCTGGAATGGGTCCTGGCGGACCTGGAATGGGTCCTGGGGGCCCTGGAATGGGTCCTGGCGGACCTGGAATGGGGCCAGGAATGGGACCTGGAATGGGACCTGGAGGACCCGGAATGGGACCTGGAGGTCCTGGAATGGGGCCAGGAATGGGGCCCGGAGGTCCTGGAATGGGCCCAGGCGGTCCCATGGGTATGGGTGGGGGACCAATGGGCATGCCAGGAGGTCCTATGGGCCCTAATAGCATGAGACCGATGGGCCCAGGTGGACCGGGAGGCCCAGGTCAATGTGGAAACATGATGGGTGGCATGATGAGGATGCCTGGCATGGGCATGTATCCTGGTCAACCTCATGGAGGACCCAACCCCGGTGACATGGGACCTAACAACCAAATGTTTGTCCCTGGAGCAAAGGGCTCACCAATGGACGCCAGTCAACCTTTACCTCCTTCAGGGGGCTACAAGAACTCTTCTTTTATTGGTCCCACAACTGCAGACCCCAATTATGCTCAGCAGTTCCATAACTTCCAACAGCAGCTGTATGCAACAAATACGAGAAGCAATAACCAGTCGTTCTTCCTACCCAAGTGAAGTGTTCTGTCTCTTAGCCATATGTGAACCAGGTACTAGTCTGCTGCTCACAACTCGTAGGTTAGTGCCAACTAGTGTGCAAGGACCCTGAATGGTTGTGTAAATATTGGTAATCATAAGTTATGAACCAAAAGGGCACGTACATTTAATATTGCTACATATTATGAAACCATCCGTCCACATGAACACTTAATGACATGTACTAATTGGTAACGTTTGATTAGCAGTATTGTGAACAATTGTTAAGCCTTCTTATTTATTTTGGGCTTGTACTGGTTGGTCTTGATATATTGCTTGTTTGATAATCATTGAGATGGCAATATTGACGGTGGCTTGATACTCATTTTTGACTGGTTTGTATTTATATTATGTAATACTGTACATTTTTGGCAAGCAATCATTGTGGCATTCTAATAATACCAGATTGTAAAGATACAAAGTCTGCTCCAGGGTACAAATTGACCTCTTTTATTTTTATAAAAATGAATGCCTTTTTATTGCTTTTTAATTCTTGTCTAGTGGCGTGTAGGGGTGTGTAAAGCTTTAATCTGAGCTAGGCAGTACTAGATTTATGAGGCTCATTTCAAACATAGTCAGATTTAAAAGACTTATTTTATGTATGTGGTAAATGAATTGAACTGTAAATCATGGGGAGTTATCATATCTGTCCAGGTGTGGTACATTTGTTGTGATGGATTGTTTGTACTAGTATTTAACTTTTTACATTTATTCAGTTTTTAAACATTTATTTCTAGTTATGCTTGGCTCAAGTTTTTATTTGACTGAATTTTCTTATCACACACCCCTGCAATCCTTGTCAGTTTAGTTGTCTACCATTAAAATTAAAACTATCCTGGTGTTAGATCATTGGTATTGAGTCACTTAATGATTTAAGCATAAATAAATTAAGCTTAGTGGTATATGGTCCGTGATGGGAATAAACCCAAAAGTGATCATTAGCCATATATTTTTTGGGTACATTACCCAAAATAAGTTATACTCCCAGAGATTTTTGCTCTCTGTAATTGTGACTGTTTTAATTAATATTTCTTTTTAAAAGGTAGGATTTTGAATTGTTCTTTACTATCTTCTAAGGAGTTGTTTACTTCTTGCCCACTTAATTAATTTTGATAAAGGTATCAAAAGTCAATAGGAATGAAAATTGTACCTGAAAAACTTGGGATAACCAAGTTAAATTTAGCTGAAAACAGTAGACATTCTTAGAGATTTTTTTTTAAAATGCCGACAACCCTTGGAGTGCTAAGCTAACATGTTAACATTGTTTTGCCCTCTTTTTAAAGAGTATTTAAGGCCTATTTGTTCTGATTATATATTATTGTATTTTTATCTTTATTATTATTTGCAGGTGACAATTTTGTTATCTGCAAACTACCGTGAGATGTTGACTTTGATGTAAATAAATCTGCAATGATTGATCTGTGGTAATTGGTAGTTGTGACATTCTTCCACGTTGCCCTAACCCATCCTCAAATGCATGTATAAGAACAGTATCATTTATTACTATTTATGAGAGTGATATAACAGGTTGCAATGAGATGTGATCATGAAAATAAGAGATTCAAAACTAATATTTAATCGTTTTTTTGCACCTAGTATCGACGGCTCTCTTGAGATCTCACATTCATCCAGTGAGAAGTACCGTGCTAAGTGCATTAACCTTTTATTTTTATATTTGTGATTCTTTCATGAGTGATTGCGGATGAAAGACATGAGGCTTCTTCACGGCATCCAGCTGGTCGACACCCCTCCGGGCAGCAGATCAGATGGCGGGTCGACGCGGGTGTCGTCGAACTTGACGACGACGTCCTGGACGGCCATATTATCGGTGAGGAAGTCGTCGAGGGTCTTGACCTCCGGGCGGAAGGCTCTGTCGAAGGGGAAGCCCATGGCGCGTGCGTCCGGGTAGTAGTCGCTGCCGGGAACGCCGCAGAGGATCCAGCCGTCGTGGCAGATCTCGTTGGCGGACGCGGGTTGCTGCGGGAAAGGCAGGCAAAAGGCGCGGTTAGTTTACCGGGAGCAGACAACACGACATCCCCGCGACCGGCGGGCAGTGGCCGGGGTCCCGAGGGACTCACCTTGTCCTGGTCGTAGTCGGTGACCATGGCGAAGAGCTTGTAGGTGACGCCGGTCTCGTTTCCCCTGGGCACGAGCAGGGTCTGCGGCCAGCCGCAGCGGCAGCGGTTGACGCGTCGCGCCCCCCAGAAGGAGGTCTGCGTGGTGTAGATAGCGTCCTGGTCGGCGGTGAGCGGCGTGGCGGTGGACTCTCGGAGGATGCCGTTGAGCCCGGGCTCGACTGCGGCACAAGGGTGAGGTGAGGCCGAGGGTGAGGCGAAATTATGGGTCGACAGGAAGTCGTAACGGCATCGTCTTCACATCGCTTCCTCAGAGTGCGGACATGAAAAGGGGGGGGGGGGACGCCCAGCAAGTCTGGAGCCGTGCGCTTGACGCTAAGCGCACGGCTCCGAGAGATATATAGTCGTACTGACGAAAGAACAACACAGTTGCCCCCATCTTCACCACGCTTTTCAGCCAGTCAGTGTGCTGTTCTTTCGTCAGACGGACCATACCTTACGCCTATAGTATGCACCGGGTGTAACTTTGAATACGCAGCAGTGTTGCGGGATTTCATACTCAATATGGACGCAGGGGCCATGGCCCCTTACGGGTCTTAAGAGTAGGCAAACCCGCAACACTACTGCGTATTCACAGTTCCATCCGGTACGGCCCAGCCTGCCTGGTCCTGTAATACTTGCAACATCCTTTCTTATCTATCTAACGTTGTTATTGTTATCTACATATTGGCGTGCCCTCCTGTACCCTGCACAACAGCCCCCGACCACACACTTACGCGTCGCCTCGAAGCGGTCCATCTCGATGGCGTAGCGCTGCTGGTAGGCGAGTTCCAGCGGCTGGCCCGCCTCGTCCGTCAGCGTGATGAGGAAGAGGCGGACGTAGGCGCGCTTCTCCCGCAGCCCCTTGTTGAGCACCTGCACCTCGTAGCTGAAGGGCTCGTGTTGCAGGTGGCGGAAGCGGCCGTAGGCGCGGCCCGTCTCGGCGAAGGCCAGGCCCAGGCTCAGGTCGAGGTCCGACTCCTGCCAGAAGGTGTGCAGCTCGTTGTGCGCGCGGCTCACGTCGGAGCGCACGGCCAGCGACTCGATGGACACGTCCTGCCAGGTGAGCTGCATCGGAGAAGAGTGGAGTCAGGTCAGTGTTCGCCATAACGTAAAAGAAGAGAGGGGTGTAAGGATGTTGTTAACGACCGATTTTTGAAATTTTTTTGTCGAGGGAATTGGAAACTTTTCGAGAAAAAATAAAAAAATGATCATTAGAAACTATAAAACTTTTCAGGAAAGGTAGAAAGAGCCTTTTGTTTAATCTTCACAAAATACTTTTCCGGAACACCAAAATTTCTAGTTGGGTGACGTGCCCGCGCGCGGCCCGCGCCCTTACCTCGTTAGTTTGATACGGCTGCAAGTAGGCCACCTTGTACTCCTCGTAGAGGTCGTCCATGTGCTTGTGCAGGCGGTAGAAGCCGGTGTCCCGCACCGTCGCCAGCACGGACATGGTGGATATCGTCTCCTGCAACGGTGGCGGCGGCGCTGGTTAGGATAGGAGTAGGACGACACTGGAGCGTGGCGGAGCGCCTGACGGGTAGGCCTTCCCGCCGTGCGCCGCTGCGCCGCGGGACAGCCCAGCCGCTCTTCTGCAGGGGCCCCGATCCGACCATACTCACGTAGTTTTCGTGGTTTGGGTCGTGCGCCAGCCCCATCACGCCGTGCAGCTGGTTATGGACGGTGCCGTAGAAGTCCAGGTTGGGCGACAGCAGACTGTTGGCCTCGAGCGCGTTTGTGATGGTGTCCAGGCCCTTCAGCCCGCTCAGGGGGATCTGCTTTCCTTCGGGCTGCGCGGAGTGACAGACAGATATGCAAACGGTGAGGAGGGGCTTCAAAGTGCTTACCGGCCATCTCGCTCTGATAAATCAAGTGCACCTACTGCAAGTGTTCAATTGGCAAGCACGTTCAGGGTTCAAAACCGTGCCGCATATTCTCTGCTGTGTGTGATAATTTGAAACTACGGATTGGATAGTTTAAAACTTGAAATTGCTTAACTCAGTCGTTGATATGGACCTGTGTTGAACACTTGCAGCTGCTTGCCGGTTGAACACCCGGTGAATACGCATTAGTTCTCTTACCGTGACCATGTACTTCTGCGCGAGGGCCGTCCTGTAGCGGCTGGTCCACAAGTCGATGGAGTTGATCGCCGCCGTCTGTGCCTAAGGTGGGCAGAAGAACGCGAGGTTATAATGGTCCGAACGGGTGTGGCTGTGGCAGATAGGGCAGTCGCAGCTCACCAGGAGCGAGGTGTTGGCCTGCCTGCCGGGGTAGCCCCTGTTCTGGTGGAGGCTCGTCATCTTCGGGAAGAAGGCCTCCGCCACGGGCTCGTGGATGTCGAGCGGCAGGATTCGGGGCACGCCGTTGGCGAAGCGCTCCGCGTTGAGCCTGGCGATCATCTGCCGGTGGAAGTAGACGAAGAGCTCGCCGCGGCGGTCGCGGTCCACGTACTCCCGGTCGTCCTCGCCCGGCGGGTAGTTGATGTGCCAGTGCCAGTGGAAGATGTTGAGGTGTGTGTCCTCCAGCCAGTACCACGTCTTGCTCTCGGCCGTGTTGCGCTGCGTCTCGTTGCGCAGCACGGGGATCACCAGCCGCTGCCCCTCCGGCACCACGAACATCTCCTCGCGGACCTTGGCGAAGAACTTGTCGTCGACGTACATCTCCGGGAAGTACTGGGTCTGCTCGGGCAGCTGCACGCCCTGCTGCGCGCCGTCGCGTCGGGAGAGCGCGCCCCGCCAGCCGTCCAGCACGACCTCGGGGTGGTAGTGCAGGCGCGCCCACACGCCGCGCGACAGCATCTCCTCGTTGGTGTTTGCCGCTGTGTTTTTACAATACGGGAACTTTGGTTATTCATTTCCACTCGCGGAAAGCAAAGACTGTATATTGGGTCTAATAGCTAAACCAGGGATAGCTAAAAATTTGGCCATCAGCTGGAAATCTATCGTTGTTTTGCTAAATAGCTAGATAATTAGTTATCCCGCATTTAGCTATTAGTTTAGCTCTCCAGCTAATCTTTTTTTTCGTGCTTGCTCCTTGCTCAATTTCTATTTGTCTCATTTGTCACCCAAGTCTTACTCACCTTCGAAGAACTTCTGGAAGCGGATGGCATAGGCGAGCTGCGCGGGGTTGGCACGGCTGTACTTGCCCTCCCGGAACGGTAGCGCGGCGGCGATGTCGGCGAAGTCCAGCGCTGCCTGGGTCATGTCCAGCTCCGGGATGGAGAGGAGGCGGACGCCGCTGCCTCGCGCCGTCGCGGCGAGGGTGGTGGCCACCGCCTTGTAGCGCTCGGGCTGCGGGGGAGAACGCCCGGACGTCAGTCCCGGATCTCGGGTATCATTTGACCAGCCGCCAAACAGGAGCACTAGTGCCTCACCAAGTACGAGACTGGGACGTCAAAGGCGATGTCCCGGTTGAGGCCGCGGAGCGTGAAGACCGGCTCCGCGGGCCTGTCGAACAAGTAGAGCAGGTCGGCCTCGGTGACCTGCTGGGCCCGGACGGGGGCGAGCGCGAACCGCGCTGCTGACGGGGGCAGGGCGAGGGCGAGGAGCAGCCACCTGACCGGGGACACAGCACGATTGTGACTTCTAGTCCCTGACACGCCAGCTCTCAAGAAGCGCATGTTCTCTTGAGAAAAAAATGTGCGCACAAAATGCATCTAAATCGAGGGCATGTTTACGTACGCGGCGCTGGCGAGGGTGGCGTTCAGCCTCATCGTGTCGTTGGGGCTGGTTCTGGTGGTGCACCTGGCGGCGTGTGTCTGGCCTGTGTCTGGCTGTGCTTATAACCGTCCCCTGCGGCGCTGGGTGCTTCACTACGTTTAAGAGCCTGACATGTATAGTTTTTATACGCGATTATGATGTGCGATAAAAACAAGAAAAGAAGTGGGGGCGGGGCGCCGTTCGGGTAGGGTACGGGCACTTGTCTCGCGCAGAGTGACGCAGGTGCTGTATCATCCCTATCCCCAGCATTCATAATCCCACATCCCCAGGAGACGGGGAGCCGTTTGGTCAGGAGCACTCGACTAGCGTGAAGCAAGCGCTATCCTTATCCATATCCAGCATCCAATCACACATCCCCAGGCCTTCCCGCTGTCGCTCGCGCTGAACGCTGAACCGCGCTGAACGGTACCTCATTCCGTAAAATATTACCCGTATGCTCTCGTCAAATCTCGAGTGTGAAGAAACCCGGCGATGCGCCACTCATGATTTCTCACAGCAGAGTTCATGTGGTGTAAAGTCGTAATTTTCATCCAAAGGATGCAAATTTGTCTAAATTTGTGCTGCAGACCGCATGAACTGTACAGTTAAACATCATGTGCGGCACATCGCCGGGTTTCTTTTTCGCTAGAGTATTGTGTTCCTACAAGATTTTGTCAAAAAATATGCAGTGGACGCCCACATGATGCAAATTTTGATTTTTAAGCTTTCCCCCCATAAGATTTACATGCAAATTTAGACAAAAGACGCGGCACGGGAAAGGTTTGTGCCTTGTGCATGACACGTACGAGGAATGGCTTATATCGCATGTTTGGCACTTTACAAGGGATCAGTCCGCAGGGGATCACGTGTGTTGCTTCCCCTCATAAAAAAACAACAACTTAGCACGTTCTAAGGCAATAGAGCTTGAAAGCATTGAGACCGATTATAAATGTTCCGACAAAAAGCGGAAGGAAAGATACAGGTCGGAGTCAGTTGCCACGCGCCTATCCGATAGCTTCTCGGCCATTGTGGTAGCTTCTAAAGGCTCAGCATGATACCTGAAACGTTGTGCTATCTATCTGCGATGATCATCAAAACAAATGCCTTAAGCACCATTGCGTTGCGTCGATTGCGGGTGTTCGACCCGTCACTCTGCGTCGCGCGAATCGAATGCAGACTCATCTCCCGGTGCGATGGGCGGTCCTTAGTCCTGACGTAAATAACAGCTCTCGGGCCGCTTCGAGTGCAAGATGCGTTTCATAATCGTCGAGCGCGAAGAATGACTCGGAAATGAATGCACGTCATTCCAGTGCCAACCCCGTCTTCCTGTTTCGAATGAATTTCAGCACCGAATCTGAAACAGTTGGGGTGTGAAGGGTGAGGTTCTGGTTTTCCCTGTTTGGGCCAAATCCGGCGGCCAGAGTCAGCTAAATTCGTCCCGACTGTGGAGGGCTGTCTGACGCGAGTAAAAATCATGACTCTACACTGTAATTCCTAAAGGCAACTTTTTGAGAGGTTGCCTTTATTGTTACTCCCCAGGCAGTGAGAAATCGTGAATGTTGCCCCTAGGAAGGCAACAACCGAAAGTGTCCGGGCTCAAGGCCACATTTGTTGCCAATGCCGCAAAGTCTACCTTGCTGCGGGGCGAAATGTTACCCTTGGCGTAAAGGCAACTTTTGTCGCCGTGCGGGCGGCTACCTTCCGGCCCCGCCTCGGCGGGACAAAAGTGTCCGATCTGGTGTTTGCCCGCATTAGCGTGAAAAAGTTTCCTTTGTGAAAGGGGACTCTTGTCCCCGAGTATTCGTTAAGTTTAGCTTCCGTTTTCAACTGAA